GTTTACTGCCATACTGAATTGGCACCTTACTTGCTGAAGCAAACTGCTGACACCTTTTTTAAAAAAGTGACAACTACATCTATTTCATGACCAGAAATCCATTTTCATCTCTATCAAGACAAGAATGCAATTTTCACTTCATTTAACTGATGTTAGGCCTGCTCGAAGCATGACACTTATAGAAAGGCACAAGTTTAAGGTTCTTAAAATACTTCAAGTAAGTAGAATGTAGCTTGGTTTTAGTAATAAAATTCTACATTTCCTCAAATCCACAAACAACTTAATATTCCCTCCCAATTTTCTTATCAAAATCTTAGAAAGTAGTTTCATTTTTAATGATTGCCATACTACTTTCATGTTTTTAATAGGAAGTTATGTTTGTATATTATAGTGTTTCAAGATTTTAAAGAACATGAACAAGTTTGTTCAAAATGTATATAGGCCGAGTGTTAATCAGTGAAAAAAGTTTAATTAAAAATGGAATTTTTAAAGTCTATATTGAAAATCAAATAGAACTAATTACTGCTCAGGTAATAGTAGAACCAATATATTATTTTATTCACTAAAGACACTAGTGGTAAAATACACTTTCAATAGTTATTTCATGTGAAACTTAAAAATATAATAAAAATCTGGTAAAAATCTATATTTTTGCAATAAATAAACTCTATAAGGCTTAGATGCAATTCAAGCTATTTTGAATTAATTAAATTCTGAATAGTATATTGCTATTTTTGTCTGACATTTATTAACAAGCTAGTTGAAAGCGTGGTAAAATGAGTCAACATTAACTCAGACAATTTTTTTAGATCTAAGTGCTTTGGCAGAGTTTAATTCAGCCTATTAATTAAATATACTACAATTTTAAGCTGAAAACACCAATACATATGTTAAAGTTAGGTGGTCTTGTCCTCATCTAACAGTATACCTATAAAATAAATCTAAAATTTGGACCTCAAATAAAAAGTGGAGCCTAATTTTGGAAATATCTGAAATTTCTAAGCCCCTTGCATCAAATACAGAACTTTAAGCACATAATACTATTTTTTAGAAAGCAGGGCTAACTTGCTTAGGCTAATAAATAAAAAGGGACCACATCCACATAAAAATCAGACATCACTCAGGGCAAAAAATGATATGCTTCTCAATACACTTAAGTAATGATTTATTACAAACCATGTAGGTGCACAATTCAAAATTAAAATTACAGAGATGAACTGTTTCCTTGGAGTCGACACAAACGGAAATTGTCAATTCTTTCATAATACATTGTCACAGTGTGGACAATGTTCCAGAAGTTTTAAGAAATAGTTGAGAGTATATTTTTTGTTTATTAATTTCCTTTTAAATGATCAAGTAAGGTATAATTTAATCTCATTTCTCCTTAGATGATCATTTCTTTGAAAAATGCAAGGCGTCAACAGTGGAATTAAAGTTCCTTCAAATTTCTTAATAGTCACTGCTTTTGTCCTTGTCTTAACCAACACAGGCTCTATGAATCTCACCAGAATTAGGATAATACTTATCAAGATATTCTAATTATTCATTTCACCATTTCTCTCTGAATTTCAGAAAAGTAGGCACTCTATTAACAACTAGGAAACAATACTGTAAACAGCCTCTACATCATTAAAATGAAACTTCATGAACTCTTTCAAAAATTAGATTTGAAAAGTGTTCTGGGCTCAATATGTAGAAGTCTCCAGGAATTTTGGTGGTTGGAGGGGGAAAAAATTTAAAGCGCTAAATTGGGAAGGCATTTCTGAAAAAAAAAAGAAAAGAAAAAAAAGTGTTTCCCATAAGTCATGTTTGTGCTTAACACTGCCCATCAGCCATCCTGAATCATTATTTCTATAGCTGCCTGGCACAGTTCCACCGAGTTTATGCATCTCTACAGCATTGCCAAACGGACTGACATATTTTGTTTACTGACAGCAACTAAAAGCTTTATGTAGGATCATAAATAAAGAAGATCTTGTTTAAAAATCACTAATATCATTTTAAAAGGTAGTGCACGCTTGTGTTTTGGCCTCTGTTTGGCTGTGTTAGGCCTATGAATGACAGCTTCCCTGCTTGAAGCACACAGAAAGAACAGCCTTCCTCATTCACTGACAGGACTGTGGCCTTTTCACACGTTCCTTCCACAGCAGTGTTTGTCCCCAAACACTGGAACTAGACACAATGGCATTCCTACTCCAACACCCCCACCAACAGCACCACTACATAACAGGAATGCTAATGAGATGGAACAGGCCCTGTCCCTGAAAGTGTTAACTACATTTCATAGGAATGCGTTTATGCCATTTCAGAGACTAGCAATTAAATACATTCTGCTTAGCTCTGAGCAATTTCAACAATGTTTCCACTTTTAGGGAAATAAATGTGATAAATGTAAGACTAAGTGACTTTATGCTGCCCTAAATACAACATCTCATTTTAATACACATGAATCAGTATATATTTAAGAACACTCTAATGCAGTATGCTTAATTCAGTTGCATGCTATAATAGCCAAGCCAAGTTAAAAATTGAAAAACGAGTAAGTTCCTAAACATAAAATCAGCTTGTTTGATTCAAAAGAAATTCCCTCTGGGAATAACACAATTTAGTCTATAATCTTTTGACAGACCCCAAAACAATTCTGTTGATTTAATGTGTGATGTCAAAAGTGGAATAAGTGGAAATAATATTGAGAGCTAACGTAATCTTGCAATTTATCAATTTAGATTTGTTAAGGAAACAGGAATGATTTTCCACCTTCGTTTCACTTATTGAATGATTCCTTAACACATTCTTACAGAGAACTACATGACAAGGCTACTCGAAAGGCCAAATGAAGTAAACACAGTGCAAAGAAAGTTCATCAATTTTATGAGAGATTTTTTTTTTTTTGCTAAGAAATTCTACGCACAAAAATATCGTCAGGTTTAACATTCAACCACTGAAGGTCTTACAGTGGTGTCACCACAGTAAGTTTTCTAAACATTGCAAATAATTTTAAATGAAGTCATGGCATAGAAATACTAAAGAACAGAGCCTTGAGAATACATACTAGCAAGACATATCTGAAGAAAGAGAATTTGCATGGAAACGCACAATGAGAACATTTCTGCTTCTCTTCTTCAGTTTCATATTTTACCATATAGCTTACTGATCATATTAAACCTGCTAGTCCAAAGCTTTCAAGGTTTAAAATTCAAGGACAGTAAAATGGTAGTTAGGAACAGCAAGAAACCCGCGGTTTTAAAACGTTCTTAATTATGGCAGTGTGAAAATTCCTTACAGGCTGATCAAAAGAGACATTAAATGTCATAAATCTTGTTCACACTTACATTTCATGTTTCATAAGATGCATTTTTAAAAAACAAAGCATTAATTCCCAATCCATTTTTTCCTTAGAATGCACAAAACTCTTTTAAACGTACTACAGCAGTTTGTATCTATTTGAATTCAAAGTGTTTTTAGACAGTGGAAGAAAAAGATGCCATTACAGTTTGAGATCATTCTTCCCCCTTACTCTTAAATTTTATAAAACTTAATAGATGTTTGGCTTTGTTTTGATTTAAATTGTGCCTTTCTTGTATTAGAAAATACACACGTTTTACATAACATTAACGTAAAAGTAGAATAAAATTCTATAACAAATAAGTCATTATAATTTCACTGATCATAATCCATCCTATAAATATCATAGAACCTCAAAAATTAGATATTAGATATTTTGATACATATATACACCAAATTTTGCACATAATAAAGAACATTAACATTAACATACATTTTGTATATAATTAATAGAGAACATAAAAAGAAGTTTGGATTTTTTTCCAATATTTATTTTATAAGCACTGCTATCTAGTATTAATATTAATTCCATTTTTGGATCCAGCAGAATCAATTTAAAAAACAAAATACAGTTTTGAAATAAAAGTTTCTCACGGGAAGATGTTTCTTGCTAGTACTGGATATCACAGTTGAATACTTGCTTCCAAAATGAACCAACGCAAGGTGTCCTATTCTGAACTAGCCAGCAGGAGGTGCTGTGTGAACACAGAGGCTGCCATTTCAGGCCCTCCTCCTCTAATCCTTGCAGGCAAAAAAAAAAAAAAAAAGCTTTCAAAATATTCATTTTCCAGCAGCCCGTGGCCTGAAATAATGAGTTGTGTTCAAAATTGGAGCCTCCTTATTCATAATATAAACTCTAGTCCTTACTTAACATCATAAAAATACATGTTTTATGTTTTTAAGATCCAACACAAAGATAACTTTTGTGGGAAGTATACTTTTTTTAATAGCATGATTCTGCTTTACAATGCAAATCATATTTTTAAATGAATCAAAATTTACAAATATTTATTTAAAAAGTCAAGGTGTTTACAAACTGACACAAATTCATTCATAGAAACATAATTATGTATTAGATACATAGAAGCTAAGGGATAAAAGTTTAACTTGAGTCAGGCACATTTGACTCTTTCAATATTTTTGACTCCTGAAATTTAAGTAAAACAAGCATAAGCAAAGTAATCCTCTGATGTAAAGTTAATCCATCATTTCCTGCCTCAAAATGTAATTTGTTATATTAGACTATCAATTACAATACCAGTCTGAATGTATAGTGAAAGCAAAAATAAAACACTGAAGAGTTAAATCTTCAGATGACTTAGAAGTTGTTCATTTTCTTAAATTAACTGCAAAAGTTTCCATGTTAGGAGTTGCTTTCACTTTGAACATTGTGCAGCAAAGAAAGATGAGACAGTAAGATATCTCATACCAAAAGACAAATACAATTAGTCCCACTGTTGTTGGTTTTGAGATTACAGAAGAAGCATTTTGGCTCCCTATCGGGCACTGCCTCACAAAATACACGCCACAGTTCTTTTATGACACAATGCCAATCACTGCCTCTATACAACCAAGTACATTTTTAAGACATAACAAAGCAGTTGTTAAAGAGGGATGACTCACCTGTTTATAATCTATAGGTATATATTTTTTGCAGACTTTAATCGTTGGAACAAGGCCACAAGAACTCCTTAGATGTACATCTTAGCTCCAGAGGGGCTGAGACCTACCTCCTCCTTCAGAGACCCAAAGTGGTCCTCGCAAAGGTGGGATGGAATTTTGCAAAGCATTGTTCAAGCAGAGAAACTAGGTGAGAAAAAAAAGGGAAAATAATTCTTTGGACCCAACCGACACACACTGCCTGGAGCACAGTCCAAATACCAGAGCTAACTCTTAACATCTATTATTTATATCTGACCTGGGTTAAGTCTTAGAAAGGCAATTCCCGCATTACCAGTGGCCACCATGAAGGATGTATTTATATTGAAACATCCCCCACCCCCATGCAAGACTCCTAAGCTTTGTGAACACACCTGAATAGTTCTGAAGTGTGCCTAACTAGCTGCGCAGAGTGTCATGGTGTGCACTGATTGCCTTATCTTCTCATTTATCACAGATGAGTTGGAACCAACCTTGCTGAAATCTACTTGCATTGTCCTGATAAAATTGTAAGATCCATGTTGTTTCTGTATTATAGCTTCCTGTAGAGGAGTCCACATACTTGAAACATCACATCTAGAATTTATTCACAAAATATAATCCTCACCTTTAAAAGCCATGTTTATTCAAGGCTTATCATTCCTTTAAAAAAAACTATAAAACAGGATGGTAAAACTGTTTAAAAATAAGGGGGATAATGTTAAGCAAGCATTCTATTGTACCTTTCTGTGTTCATGTTTTTCATATACAAGTTGGTTGAGGACTTAGGAATGCAGTTTGAGCACACATTTAATAAACAGTGAAGGCTATTTACTTGTGGGCCTGATTTCCAACATCCATATGGACTTGACAGACATGTTTATATACTTTTTCACATGATTAGCTTAGAAAGTATTTCTAGTGTAAAATAGTCAAACAACATGGTAGTTAGCTAACATTTTTCAGGAATTAATTTTCCTCTGAAAAGCCAGAAATAAATAACAAAATCTAGGATTTTTTCAACTTGGTCTCTAAGTTTATGCAAATAATGCAAATGCAGAATAACTGTATGTCTTGATACCTATTCTGATACATTTTTTTCCATTTGAAAAAGGAATTGAGTAAGAAAATACATTCATGCTATTGGTTATATTATACTTCGGTATTTGGTGCAGAGAGGCTAGCATAGCATTCTGGAAATTGAATTACAATTAGGTTCAGCTTAGCTGCTCAGAGGCTGAGTTATGCAAATGGCCTTTGCTACTGGTATTCTGCTGATTTTGCTTGGGGTAAAAGAAAAGTTATGCATTTTATAGCACTCAGCTCAACAACCTTCTACTAAGACATAATGTAAAGTCTACATAGTATATTCAGTCCTAAAGAGAATGCTGAAAATGTAGTTGGAAATTTTCTACTACAAACAAAATTAAAAGGAAATTACAACCTAAAAATTGTTTAGACATCTCAGATATCTAAAATATGCATGAAGAATATATCTGAGAAACTAATTCCTGAGAATCACTTGTCAATCCAATTTTTACACTTTTTGAGCAATTGTTTTTCTCTGTAACAGTTGTCAAAGCTAATGCCTCAAACTTTTAAAAACATAAGATCTCATGCATTATAAAGAAATAAAAAACTAGAAGAGTGAACTTCTTCCTAAGTGTATACTGTAAATCAATACTGATCACTTTTTTCAAACAAACCTACATTAAGAAACAACCACTTTAACTCAGTTCTTCAATATTCACACACTGTATTAGATTTTAAGTCATACACCATTAATTTGCACATTCACTGAATTTACCACATTTTTTGAACATTAAAAGGCACAGTATAAATAACCATTAGGTTGAAATAAAGTTAAATAAGTGATAAAAACGAATAATCGTCAATCTAGAGATAATCTTGGATTTGAATCAGAATATTTGATCAGACTCTCTAGTGTCTGCCACAAAATAACTTTGAAAATCTTTATGTCACTCCAAGGCATTCCAAAAAGGTACTTTTTTTTTTTAGAACTTTCAACAACAAAACTCTGTTTTTCCCCCCAGAGTTTGTGTGCTCCTAAAGAATTTTTTTTTTGAAAAGCACAGTTTAGAAAAAATATAAATATATCTAAACAATATAAGTAGTGTCAGAATTGATATTGGATGGAAAATAGCTCCCATGCTCCACATGATTTATGTAATTAGGAATACTATGGAAACCAGAAATAGTAAAGCGAAGAAAGCAGTATTCACAAGCAGGTTTTATAAGGGAATTCAGAATCTGCTCTGAACTTGTTGAATAATCTGTTCAGTATTCCAGAATCTCCCTGCTGGAAGCACGGCGCTCATTATAATGACGAGCGCACTAATAAAGGTTAGCCTCTGAACTAGGGATTAGAAAGTTCTTTCTTTTTGGAAGCTGCAAACTAGTAACTTTGATGATTTTCTTGAAAAGGAAGACAAAGCACACTCCAAGAGCAAACAATGTTTCCACTAACTAGGAAGGTACAGAAAACATAAGAAAATGATATGCCTCAGTACTTGGAAAGGAAATATAAATCAGTCTAATATGTTACGTTGAAAATAATATTTACTAAGGTAGAATTAAAGAATATCCCATTTTTTTAAAAAAGAGGCTAGGCCTAAAGGAATAGTTTTAAAATCTAATTGATTGGTTGATTAAAAAAAAAAGCACTGGACTTTTCCACCTCAAGTATAGATTTTCAATGTGTGAATTATTTAATTTTTTTATGTTCTAGTGGGTATCCATAATAATTTATACTAAATGAGAGATCATATATGTTCTTAACCAATGATTTTCTACTCTCTTTTTGGAGAGTTCTCCTTTCCAATAGAAGACATCATTCTTAAAAGAAACTATTATAAAAATACATGCAAGAAACTACAACAATGATTTATTAAGATCACTAGACATACATTAACCTCTAATATTTGTATGCAGAAGTGCATGTAAATATTTCTCCTTCTGTGGAGTGTCTTTATATTGTAGACATTCCACCTACTTTTCCACATGTATGTGACTGTGACAAGAATTTACTTTGCTGTGTTTCCAGTGTTTTCATTTACTAAGCTCTTAATATTTTATAGTAAATGGTTTGGAAAGTAATCATTCCTTAAATTTATCAATATACACACACACATATCAGTCAAGTGAAATCATCCAACTAGGATCATTTCTGTCACTGGAAATATGAAAAGCTATGCTAATAATCACTTTTTGCCCATTTTGTTTCATCTCAACTTCTGATGTTAGGGCAAATTGAAATTAATGTAAATATATTCACTAGGTTTGGAGCTAAGATTGGAAATGTTTGGAAGTCACACAAACAAAAAGAACGGCGCTAATACTGAACAGCAAGAATAGATAGATAATTTAACCACAAGTAGGAGCTGCACTAATTTCAAAACTATCAAGGGATACCTTTCTGCTTCATGCTGTTCCATTTACTTTGCATTTCTTAACCCCTTCTAACATTGTTAATATATTCCTCAAGAATTGTACCAAAGATTGCCTTCTCTGGTCAAAGTTGCACAAGTTATGTAGGCAGAATTAATTGTTCTCTCTTCTATACATACAATAAAATCTTTATTATTTGTTTCTTTATTGATTTGTGTTAGTCCTTGTCCTATTTCACCTTCATCCCCCAGGAAATCCTAACCACTTTGATGTTTGATCTTATAGTGGTTTTCTTTTAAGCTGAACTTACTATTATTTGAATGATATTAATTATAAAGATTTATTTGGTATGATAGAATACTTTAATATTGGATACAATGCAAAATGGTCAAAACAGGACAATTATTAAAATTAGTTAGCTATGGGTGATTTTTAGTTTAGTAAAAGCAGCGTTCATAAAATGAGTAGTTGGTAAATAAATGATTATTCAAGCATTCTGTGGACAATCTGGTAGGTAAGTTTTAAAACTATGAATACAACTGTATAGCACCACATAGAACTTGTAACTTTCTATAAGTTAATAAAACAGTAATCGAAATGAAATAAATATATCAGCATTTCAAATTAGGGCATATAATCTAGCTTTAATTTTCCTTATGCTACTATTTGGAGACTAAGGAGTAGAGTAAATATGGAAAGAAAACTTTAGGATTTGGCAATTAGGGCCTAACTAACCAAAAAAAAAAAAAAAGCAAGAGGTGGGTGTTTTTTAAAGTTGTTGGAGCTCGGCACATTAGCCTAGCGGTTCAAGTTCTCGTCTTGCACACAAGGGAATCCCATATATACACTGATTTTAATCCCGGCGGCTTCCCATCCAACTCCCTGCTTGTGACTTGGGAAAGCAGTGAAGGATGGCCCAAAGCCTTGGGACTCAGCACCCGCATGGGAGGCCCAGAAGAGGCTCCAGGCTCCAGGCTTCAGATCAGTGCAACTCTGGCCATTGTGGTGATTTGGGGAGTGAATCATCAGACAAAAGATCTTCTTCTCTGTCTCTCCTCCTTTCTGTATATGACTTTCCAATAAAAATAATAAATAAATCTTTTTTTTAAGTTCTTGGAAAACTTATGTATTCTAGTCAATCCTTTAGCATTCTACTTTAGCCTATGTATTATACTTCTAAAGGGAAAGACATTTTACAATATTAAACAACATAGCATCATTGGACTAAGTTCAACATATTTTCTTAAAATAATAAAGATCTATCCCTCTAGGAACTCCAAACATAACGTTCAAACACTAACTGAGAAAATAAACTGTTCAGCCTTAAAGAGGACCTTATGTTAAAACCATTTCATTGCTGATTAAAAAAGACAGAACTTACTTACATCAAAGATAGGAATGTACATAAAAAGTCTCCAAAAATTGCTCTAAAGAGAAACCACCAGGCTAATAAAATATCAGTTAAATACATATAGGAACTCTGTCAGGCTTCTTTTTATTAACATAACTTCCAAGAGCACATGAAATAATCAAAGACTGATAACCTGGTTCTTGCAAAAAATTAAAAGTCAATTAAGTATCCAAAATGTTAGTTTATATACTATTATGCTTTTCACACTTCATAGTACATTAGATTATGAAAGAGAAATCACTGCCCAGAGCACAGTCACCCACAAAGAAACTTCTGTGTGTTTTGTGGCAGCAAGTAGCAGAACTCAGTCTCAAAAATACTCAGCTATGGTTATGGGATCATTTGGAAA